GTTCCCCCCATTTAAATAGATGGCGGCCATGTTGGTCGTTCCCACTTGCTAATAAACGCTTAAAAACAACAATAACTTTCATCATTTGAATAGTTTGAAAATGTATTTGGATTAAGGGTTTAACTTAATGTTTAAGTTCCCTGTTTAAGAAATAGAAAACATACCGAATCTTCTCATTTCATGGGAGCGACCTGAGACTGCAATCACGGCTTCAATTTTTGAATTGCAGAATAATTAGATGCACTATCTCGTGTATATATATATATATATATATATATATATATATATATATATATATATATATATATATATATATATATATATATATATATATATATATATATATATGGCGTGCATGCAATGATTTTATCGTCTGCTACACACGTAAAAACGCACAAGTTGTTACAGCTTTGCAGGCAAGTTGTTATAAATCTGTTCACAAACTTACGACAAGTTCCGTTGTGTTCGCACTGCTTGCATGTTCCTAGTTGTTGTAACAAGTTTGGAACAAGCTGTTAACAACTTGTAACAAGCTTGATGGCATTATCAGACTTGTTACAAGGTTGTCTAACACGTCTGATACAGTCATGATATGACAAGAATAGACAGATTTAGATCGAGGACGCGGACGTCAAAGACGACGTAAAGATGGCGTGTTGTGCTCATGTATGGATATGCCACGCCATTTTGACGCCATTTTCACGTCGTCTTTGGCGTTCGCGTCCTCGATCTAAATCTCTCTAATGTTACAAAATTGACGACACCGCGCACATTTAACATGATACACGTGCGATTTCTTCTTTCGCGCCGACAACTCAATAGTGAAATTGACCCATTGTGTTGTCAGCTAATGCGAGGAAAAACCGTATGGGTAATCCAGGGTTCAAAATGGTTGCCTGCCAGTGACCAAATGCAGGTCATACTTGAGAAATGCCAGCGAAAATAAAATAGCAGGCGAAATCAGTTCTACAGGTTGTTCCATTTCATTACACATACTATGTATCCACAATTTTATTCAAAGTTTTATGTACCAGAATTTAAAGTAAATCAGAGGTGCAATTGCAAATATATAGATGATTTAATGATTGATTGAAATACGTAACCTATAGGAAAGGCCTAGAAAACAGAAATTGCAGGATTGCTGGTGCCAATGGCTCATGCTGTGACTGATTGCTGCTCACAATATTGAAAAAAAACATCGCTGAAAATTTTGCTGTGTGCATTTAATTATTGTGTTCGATATAGATATAGGAACTTATAGGAACAGGACTGGCAATGACAAGGCAAATAAGACGCATAATATCATAAAGAATCATACAGAAATAACCTTCACAGACACAGTACTATTTTTTATACAATTATTTAAATTGCATAATCTTAATAATTATAGGTCGGAATGTCTTATTCAAAAACAAAATTTGAATAATATTGTTTACTATATTATCTTCATTTCCATATAATTTTACCTCCCACCGATTGCTTCGTCATGAACACAGGCAGCTAGCTGGCATCTATTTAATCTGTCACAAACTGTTCCCAGTATTCAGTCTATCCTTGGGCCTATAGCTTTGCACTGCCTGACTGAGCATCAGAAACAAGAGTTGAGAAAGATTGTCAAGATGAAAGGTTTTGCAGGTTTCTTCATTTTAGCTTTCTGTGCGACAACAGGTGAGTTTAATGTTGGACACATATGTCCATTATGTCACTATATATATAATGTAATCTCTCCAACGACTAGGCAAAAATATATTCACATCAATATTCGAATATCAGCCAAAGCGCACGCAATAGTCGGCAGGTTATCGTGTGTTAGGGAAGCCTCACATATCGATTTTTTCCACGAGAAACGTCATATGTTCGTTTGGGGGTGGGGGGGTTTGCAGCTGTGACGTTTCTCTGAAAATATCATGGAAAAATTCGATAGTTTTTTCGAAAGCCTTGACATTTCTAAATCATCTTTACAGAGTATAAAAAAGAAAACAATTTGATACAAACAACAGTCTATAGGCCTACATTCTATACCATACCTGTTCTACACGTATACATTTATATTATTACGCCTTCCTTGCATTGAAAACACTCAAATTTCAAGAAAACCGCGCTAAAATTATCAATATTTCATGCAAAAAAAAGTTGTTTTGAGAAACGTTGGAAATTTTGAAGTTCATATATATTAATAAAAAAAGAGTATGTCAGCAGAAGATGACATATTCCTCGCGGAAGCATCGCCAATAGCCGACCGCAGAAAATAGTAGAAAATTACCTTATGTATACTATATCGAACAAAATATCGATAATATGTGTGACGTTTCTAAGGGGGGTGGGGGGTGGGGGGGTCTCCAGAGAAACGAACATATGACGTTTCTCATGGACGAAATCGATATGTGAGGCTTCCCTTATAATATATAGTTACGTTTAGAGGCTTTCTGTTTTCGTATTAACTGAACATCAGGCCTCTATAGCTGTCAAATGACATCTTTATTGAATCATTGCAATAAAAAACCCAAATACCTGAAAATAGTCAGTCAACGCTCTGCCGAAAGTCGTGGGTTTTCTCCGGGTGCTAGTCGGGTTTCCTTCCACAGTGAAAGTTACAGTTCGTGTTAGGGGCTGTTTTGATATGGATGCGAGCCAGCCCTGGAACCCATGCAAGCGAGCTAGCTCACTTTTCCGAGCTGATTTTATCCCATGCATGTTATCCAGTACATGGCCATGAGATTCTCGATCGAGGCGGACTGGCTCACCAAAACAAACCACTGGGCTCATTGCTATATAAATAGTAATATTTTCTCACAAACATGAAATTCGCACTTTGGCGAGCAACTTTCACGGTTATAGCCCACAGGCACAGAATCGTTTCTGACAGAGTCAGACCTTTTAAGATCGAAATCTGCCGCGGAGAAAATCTTACTTACAACAATATTTGTACGTGAACATGCAGAACTGTAACACTCAGCCCGCTTAGACACGCCAGCCCAGGTATAACTGCGTTTATAGTAGAAATTTCCAGCCCGTCTTGATGGCGAGCCATCCCTGCTGCTTCAACGAAGCGAGATCTATAGGCTAGGCGGGCCAGCCGTATAAATGCAAGATGAATATCTCGGCAAAGCGAGCTAGCTCGGGTATACCCGGGCTGGCTCACATTCTTATAAACATCCCCTTAGGATAAATCTACTGACGTATATGCCTTTCTATTCAAAGAAAGGACATCGTCCACTTCATTCGCATGTTGAATTTTAACTTTAATCTTTACTTGTTTCCGTCCAAGCGAGCAAAGCCTTTAAATTCAACGCGTCCAGTCTCGGCCCCTAATTGCACGCTATTATACGAGAGAATCGACTGAGACATTGATTCATGCTTTCACTATTGCACGGATTACTCAACTGCCAGCTCAGTAATTTTCAAAGAGTGCAAGTTAAAACATGAGCAGTCGATCTTTGTCTGATCAACATGCACAAACTCGAGCCGAAGGCGAGAGGTTGCATGTCTGATACAACACGGACTCCGGACGCCGGAATGCTTCAATATAGCTTGTGAAACGTCTTGATGAGAACATTCGCGGTATTCCTCAACAATTTAAAAGAAATGAATGATATTTGGTCGTGATTGTTTTGTGTTTAGTTCGTCATGAATTATTAATTCACAATACAGATACCATTATCATTTCTTGCTTTTTAGTGAGATCTGTAGACACAAATAGATGTTTCGACTGTAAAGAGGAAAGAAGTCCACCTATCAAGGAACCAGCATGCAACCAAACAACAAGTTGCGGGGAACTGTCTTATAAATGTTTTGCGCAGGTCGTGAAAAAAGCCAATGGCAATATAGAGTTTTCCAAGGGTTGTGCTAGTGGCGGTGATTTTCGGTGTGGTAACAATCCTGAGATTTGCCGACAGGAGCTGGGGAGTGGTGCCGAAGCTTGTAAAACCACGTGCTGCTCAACCAAAGAATGCAACGTCAGCTTCCCTGAACTGAATGGTGGCAACGATGTGGTACTTGGTGTTATGCCGATGATTGTGTCCATGTTCTTTGCTTTGACCTTTTTGTGAATTTTGAACATAGGACACGTACTAACTAATAAATTCTTTTAACATATTTCTTGACTGTAATCAGGGACGTAGCAAAGAATTTGGCGTTGGAGTGGGGGGAGGGCGGGTAGGTTAATTGTACTAATTATTTGATTTTTTAATTTAAAGTGTGCCTAACCTCAATTATTTTTATCATCTCATGATCATTCTTAAGAACTTCTGAAATTATAAGACAACTTATTTTGAAGACCACCCATTTCAAAGCAGTCAAATTTTCAGCATAGAGTAGACGCTGGTTACGACACTATAAGACGGGAAAATTTGTTGGTTTACCGCCACAATGGGAGCAATTAATTAAGAAGTTTAGGTGCTCACTTTGTTTGCATGCATGCAGATATCCGGAATTTATGTCACAAATCCATAATGACTTAAAGTAAGCCTTGTATATCGCATTCACTATCGAGTTTAATTCATTGAAATGAAGTTTGGGAGGATTACATACCAATGTAAAACACCATTTAGCCTTTTTATTTCATGATATTGAACTGTACCTTACATTCTTTGATCACTATCATTATTCATATGTGACGCAATCTCGTACCCAGAGCAATGCCTGTGCGCGGGCTAGGATGGCATTGGCTCTGGGGAAATTGAATTTTTCCTGTGCGGTGATTGGTTAACGTTTATCAATCGTGCATGCCGACAAAGAACCGGAACCCCTAAATTTAGGGGTTCCGGTTGTCAATTTCCCCAGAGCCAATGCCATCTTAGCCCGCGCACAGGCATTGCTCTGGGTACGAGATTGTATGCGACGCAATTTCCGGACATTTGCATATCAATAAAACTGAAAGAACTCCGAGACAAAGTGTGCATGCAAACGAAAATCTTCAAAATAAGTTACAATATCATTCCAAAGGTTTTTAGGAATCTCATGAGAAGATAAAAACGATTGAGGTTAGGTGCATTTTAAGTTTCGTGTCACTTAAAAGCAGTTTTTAGAATTTAGTGTGACTTTTTCATGAGTACGTTCATGTAACAGGCTTTTCTTTCGATAGAATATATTAGCACAATTGGATGCATTTTAGCCAAAACTAGCTGGAGTTTTAGCCAAAACTAGCTAGAAAATTTTGAATATTTCATCCCTCAGAAAGTCCGGAAATGCAACTAATATTTGACATTCTTAACTGGCGTTCACATTTAACTTTCACATTAGCCTGTTCGAAGCCTGTACTGTACATGCTCTTATAATTTACTTGAACATCACTCAAAAATTACATACCCCATCCAGCCTTCCCCCTTGTCGCTACCGCCCTGACTGTAATACATTATGTGTAGATCCAATTAAAAAAGGTTGTCCTTTACAAACCTTAAACTCTAAGCGCGCAAAGCTTAATGGGAGCACAAGTTTCAAGCTTAATATAGTTGAATATTGCAACTATATTTGGCTAAAACTAGCTAGAAAATTTTGAATATTTCAACTTTCAGCAAGTCCGGAAATGCAACTAATATTTGACATTCTTAACTGGCGTTCACATTTAACTTTCACATTAGCCTATACATGTTCTTATAATTTACTTGAATATCACTCAAAAATTACACCCTATACGCAAAACCCAGCCTTCCCCCTCGTCGCTACCAGGGGCGAAACTTGAGGCGGGGTATGGGGGGGTGTTACACCCCCCCAAAATACGAATTATCCCGATTGGCAGGGCAATCAAAGGTCTCTTATAAATAAATGATAGCACATAGGCGTACCGGGCGGGGGCAATATTCGATCAACAGTCGGGCAATTTTGATTTGAAAAAAAAAAAATGGGACAAATTCAGTCAATTTTATCTAAAATTAAGTGAATTTTTTCGCAAATTGTGTGATTTTTCGAAAATTTGTGTTATGTTCCGAAAAATATAGGTTGTCCGGAAAATTTTTTTGACCCCTAAAATGGTACACAGACCGAAATTTTTTTGGCGACGGGGGGGGGAGGTCGCCAAAATACTTTTTCCGGAAAATATTTTTTGGTACTTTTTGGCAGGGCATCACTGGTTTTGGCAGGGCAATTCTGCCAGACACCCCCTAATTAAAAGGGGCTACTTTCGCCCCTGGTCGCTACCGCCTTGACTGTAATACGTTATGTGTACATCCAATTCATGAAAGGTTGTCCTTTGCAAACCTTAAACTCTAAACGCGCAAAGCTTAATGGGAGCACAAGTTTCAAACTTAATAGTTGAATCTTGCAACTATATTTATGAATGAATTGTTCTCGTAAGGATATATTTACCATGTCTCTAAGAAATTGGCTCCACTGATAAATATATGATTTCTAAACTGATTAAGGTTGAAGGTATAGACTTTAAGGTTTGCAATGGCCAACCTCTTTTGAATTCGCTGCAACTTAGAGTTAACTGTATACTTTATACAGCCGCCTTTATACAGTCAAGAAAAGTCGATGATAAATTTTCTCATTAGTTGGTTATAGTTGTTGTTTTGTAATGGCAATAAAATGTTTTCCACAGGAAGTTTTTGTTCAATGTTTTTCTTGACAATTTTTAGTATTAACATTTTCTATACAAGTTTTATAATGATACTTCGCATTATTTACTTCAAATAACAAACTATTTATTCCGTAAAATTAGTTATAAAAACTATGATAACCACACAGAGATCGATGCCAATTGGATTTGGGTAAAAGTCTCTACCAAGCAGGGCTTTTTTTAAAGGTTCTTTAAAGAATTCCTCCGGGGGGGAAGCATTCACAAAAAGGGACCATACTGAGTGTGGAGAGATGACAAATGGTTGTTGGTGTCGAAAAGTTTGGTGGGGTGTCATATGTAATAGTTGTGGGATCTGGGGGCTTTCTCCCCCAGAAAATGTTTGTATTTTTACACCCCTGGGACTGCATTTTGTGCGTTTTTTAAATAGACTTTTAGATATACAGCGTTACATTATACTGTAGATAAACTGTATCTTCAGTTAAATGACTGAATCTTCGGTTATGTAAATACAACAACTCGGTCGCTAACTTGTGACACTTAGTTTAGCCTAGCCTTCCAACAACTCAAATCTATAGGGTCTGGGATATGCTATCCACTTGCAACGGTATTTACAACACAATGTTTATGCTTTGTAGCATTTTAAAAAAAACATTGATCATTTGAAGGTAGAAGCACAGAATAGAAGTCACAAAGCAAATTTCAGTTAGGGCGCAAGCAGTGAAAAATTAGGGAGGCGAGGCGCGGAGCTACTAATGCGGGCGAAAAAACCGGCAACTCGGGCTGAGTTCGGAATTAATCGTGTTCATTCGCTGGTTCGCGGGGAAAAGTTAAAAAATAGTTTTTGTCCAGAAATGGCAGCCGTGAAAATCAACTTGTTTTTTACGATAAAAATGCCTGTTCATACTTCACAAGGAAGGAAATATGTTGCAGAAATGTCTGTGAAGCAAAATCTGCGTTTATTGCGTATAAAATACAAAGAAAAATGGTCGGAAACGATTAACATTTGCACTTGAATACCGAGGAATCAAGGATGGACTAATATGGAGGCCATGATTATATAACATCACTTTGACTTGACTTTCTTTGACTTGTGAAACACTTGTGGCTATGGTAAAAATATGCAATACGGCGATTCTGTAATGTTAGTCCAAATTGCCCCATTCAACTGGCATGTTGGTTTGGTTAGGGCCATTCCATTTAATATCCACACACCCCCTACGGATGAGGTCAGTAAAATTTTAACCCCTAAGAAAAAAAATCAAAGTGCCGACACAAAACACCCCTCAGAAATTTGTAAATTTTCCCCTTACCCCTCAGAAAAATCGCAGAGATAAAAGGATGTCGACAGGCTTAACTCCTCAGAAACGACTTTTTGAGTCACCCTTCAGAAAAACTCATTAGCGGGGGGGGGGGGGGGGTGGACATTAAATGGAATGGCCCTTAATAATGTTGGTGGATCACATGCGCGACTTGTTGCATTTGCAGAAAATATGTGGCAGACTAGCAGGTGAGTAGCATCGATTCCAGTATTGCGACGAGCCACCTGTGTAAGTGCTAGATCACTTGTAGGTGACCTCAGTAAAATTATCTGGCATTAGACAGAGTGTAATAATAAAGTAGTGCAACACATTTGGGCACAATGCATCTTTATAGGGCCTGTTTATATGATCTTGGCCATTAGCGGGATGGGATGCTTACCAAGATCCCGCTCATAATACAAATTCTAATGAGTGTTTATATGATCCCGCCGCCCCTTATGCCGGGATCCCGCCTAAGTGAGATGAAAAATTCCCATATATAAACACTTCATCCCGGCTAGGCAGTATGAACTTTTCCCTTGAGCATGCGTAAATGCCTTTTCTGCAAAAAATATGATGTCAACCACAAGTTTAAATGGCTTCATCCCGGCAATGTATTTTGTCCATATAAACACGTCATATTCCGCCTAGAAGGGAAAGTCAACTAGGCTGGATAAAAACGTCCTGTACTGCTAGGCGGGGGATCATATATATATAAACAGGCCCTTAATGGGTCGTTCCAGAAAAGATCCACACTCCCCCCATGGAGGAAATTTCTGCCGTCCGAAGGGGGAGGGGAGAAAAAATTGTTTCTGATAATAGTAAATGCATTAGTACATCTGTAAGAGGATTAACTTCCAATTTCCTGCGTGGTGGTGGTATGGATGTTTTCTGGAATGACCCAATGAATTGACTGTACAGGGAAAAAAATTAATTTCCATTAATGTTTTGAATGGTTTTTAAAGACTCGCCATCTTTACTATCAATGTAAAAATTGAACTCTCACTAACTGGTTATTGTAGATTTCTCCCATATATGGTAAATTGGTAAAAATCCATGATATTTAGTATTTTTCCCTGTGCAGCAGATATAGGTCTGATTAACCCATTGAATGCCAGCATGCTTCCCTGGATGAGTAAAATTGTCAAACTGGCATTAGACAGAGATCTAAAACTGGCATTAGACAGAGATCTAACATTTAATTATTAACTTTATAAAGCATATTAAATATATTACAAGCTTTCTAATATGGCTGACACCCAACTTTACATTGAACGCCATTTTGCTTTGAAGTGAAATACAACGGCATGATTTTATTTGAGATTATATTATTTTTCGATGTCAGTTCAAAAAAGAGCCCTACAGTACATACATGTTTTAATAACAAATAATGATGGTACCATATATTATGTGAATTAAAGATGCTGCTACTCAAAGAAGGTTTCTGTTACTCTTTGGCACTATATTTTTGTCCTATATGTAATTGTAAACATTTGTTAGCTAGTTAGGCATTATTTATTCATGTAAATATAATTATATTTGTAAATATAATTATAGTTCAATTTATTATTTAAAATGTGTTAATTCATAGATATCTTGTATACACTAGATAGTGCATCTAATTATTCTGCAATTCAAAAATTGAAGCTCAGTGATTGCAGGCTCAGGATTTCCCATAAAATGAGAAGATTTGTATGTTTTCTATTTCTTAAACAGGGAACTTAAACATTAAGTTAAACCTATTCCAAATACATTTTTAAACTATTCAAATTATGAAAGTTATTGTTGTTTTTAAGCGTTTATAAGTGAGTGGGAACCAAACAAGGCTGCCATCTATTCAAATGGGCGTAACTGCTGGAATATTCTTGGCTTCGATTTTACTAAAAGAGATGCACTATCTAGTGTATATAGGATATCTATGGTTGAATTATATACATCAGGAAAAGACCAGCTTTTCTAATTTTTAAAAGAAGAATTCCAATTTAACTATTGTAATAAAATATTAAGGCATATATAAAATAATATAGCTACTTGCAGAATAATCCCAATGTGAGTTTGGGGTTTTGTGGTACTACTGGGCGTGGCTACTGTTGTTCGTGTTGTGCTTGATGTAGATGATGGTGGCGACGATGGTGGAATTGAATCTGAGTAACACAGATTGTCTATACAGCACTCTATATTACACTGAACAAATGGGGATTGCTGGTTACTTTCCGAAAAATATTGGCAGAGTATTCCAGGATTATTACATACAGACGTCGCTATACAATCAAGTGAAATATGGGTATTATTTTCCCTATCTGTGAATGTACCTCTGCTGCATAGTTCGTCCTTTTTACATGTCTTAACTCGTGTAGTATGAGAAGACGATTTCACTTCATCGCCAGCCAGAGAGAAGGAATTATATTCGAAACACTTCGAAGATGTTGTGTTGGACTTTTGTTCATCAAGACAAAAACTCTCGTTGCAACATTTCAGTTCACAATCAATAAATGTCCCATTGGTCCCTTCAGTTAGCGCTGTACAAAACATATCTGGATTTTTACAATGACCATGGTTCACACAAGCGGATGCATGATGGCTTCGATTATTCCTATCCGTTAAAATTATACCACTACATATTTCGTCCAGCTCGCAAATTTTTGTCTCAAGTGGACTGTATACTTCTGTAACTTCTCTCGAATCGATGTTCACTTGAAAAGGCGTGAATGTCGAACATGTTGCTTTTTGGATATTTGGGTTCTTTGTCACAACTGATTTCGTCCTGTTCATATCCGCGCATAAATCGCCATCGCAGCAAGTTATTTCACACGATGTGAATAAGCTTCCAGTGAATCTGTGACACCATGATTCTGGATTCTCACATATACTTCTGTCAAGACAATCCAAAGCGGTGTATGTTTCATTCGTGGTGTCTTTTATTCGAAGTCTCGAACATCTTTCGTGGTCTTTACAAGACTTTGTTGTTATTGTCGCGAATGTTTGCTCAATATCAATAACATCTTCTGACCTTTTCAACTCGAATGAAGTGTATTGATGGCAGTCTAATCCAATGGTGCACACCGTAATTTCGGCTAAGATATAAAATAAAGAAACCACTGCCAATCTCATGACTTTATCTGTAGTTTGTAACGTTTCTGATAAGCTTTTTAAATACGTTTTTATGATTCGCTTGCATAATAGACGATGTTAAGTCAGGCAAATGATTATGCTAATCTTAGCATTAATAATTGTTTAAATTAAACATTTTTATTTAAGTACTTCCGCTGGAACTGTTAGGTTATATTTGGTACCTCAATATATGAGATACGTCATATGAAACGGTAAAAATAGGTACGCAAGGCGTACATGTATCTGCGAAAAAACTTGATTCACATGTTGTATTTTCTTGAAAGGAACTGAATAATGAAGGTGACACGAGACAATTGAAATATTTCATCACTTATTATAATAGCAGATAAGATTTAAAACAGGGCTGTACACAGCGGGGAGGGCGGCAGGGCAAGTGCTCCCCCCGCCCACGCCCGCACCTAGAAAATTTAACCAACTTTATAATGTGATTATGATTGTAACAGATAATTATGCAGTCAGGAAATAAAAATTTCATGCAAACAATATTCAAAGTGACTATACAGCCGGCTATTTAGTAAACTGTCACCTGTCAATTCAATCTATACTCATCAAATTTTCAAAACTTTATTGTGATCATATGAAGCAAAAGTTATGTCACTTGTTGTTTACACTTGCCAATGTTAACTGTTGAGTAACATACACAAAATATTTGGTGAACATGTCTAAGACCACTGAATAATTGAGAATGTTTTGAAGGTCATGAGTGAAGTATATAATTAAATTCCAGTTCTGTGCACAGTTAATGATATACCACACTGTTCGGTTTAACACGTACAGCACATTCACACAAAAACAATTGTGTTGTGGGAGATTATCGGTTTGAGTAGAAGGTATCACAAGTTTAGTTTTGTACATTGTGTGCCATTGATCAAATCCACCATATAATATATGATTACTCATTGTAGTTTCCATACCAATGAATTTAGGTAAGATTGTCTTCCAAGTTGGTTGTTCTGACAAAATTATCCAGCCAGTATCCAGTACATTTATTCTTCATTCTTGTATTAATCTCTGAAGAAAAATATTTATGTTAGAAAGCAAAATGACAATGTAATGAGGCTCGGGAGGGTGAGGATTCTTTTATTTGAAAATGTTTGTAAAAATTTTGTTTAATTAACTCTAATGTGTAAAACCAAAATGTATAAGTATTTTAACTGATAACATTTTCAACCTTTGCTCTAACAATACATTTGATGACAGCTTTATAGTTGGACAGTTGTATCTCCTGAGAATGTTTTCACTGTTTAAAATATTACAGAAGTCACAGAAAGATTGTTTTTAATACTGTATAAATCTTTTTGTGAACTATGTTGATAAATGGCTTAAAATATCCTCGAAAGTATCCAATATTTTATACAGTGTAATATATTAATAAAAAATTTCCAGAGTGCATTCCATGTAAACTCTACGCTGAAGATACGGCAATATTAACTATAGATAGTATAGTAAACATTTGCCGAACTGGCGAACTCGTGTACTATTATAAAATATGTGGGACATATATTTGCACAAATTTGGTATTTAAATATATAATATGTGGTATTTGACTACTTACCAGATGAGGATAAGATTCCATGTTGATAAATAACTTCGGAGTAAAAAAAAGACAGCCAATTCAAGATAAATTGATAAAAATATCAAGATATTTTTGAAAGAATAACACGATTTATACACGAGGCCTGACGAGGCTAAAGTATGCCCGTTCGCAGGTTAGATGCGGGCACGATGTAAACAATTGATGTAAACGAATCGCTGATTGGCTTAAATTGGCTTAAATTATATAAGCTCGTCGCTGAATAGCTATATGCTAACATACGGTACGGCACGGTCACGGCATGTTTGCGATAGCATATATATCTGCTTCGCAGATACAAAAACTGTCCCATTCAGGTTCGATTCTTGCCAATAATTGCGTCGTCCCTGGGTATTCTCGATATGCGAAACCTACCATAATTCTGATTCCGCATATTTATGTGTTTAAGGTGGCTCCCTAGGGTTTTTAAGTTTACTACACTATAGTATTCAGGAGAATCCTGTTTCTTCACTTTATATGACATGAAGACGAAATTTATTGCACACATTGACAATGTTCTCTTAAACATTACAAATTGCAACTTTTGTGTTAAAAATTTGTTGTCATGGCAGCAGCATGCTTAGAATAAAGCTCAAAATTTGTCTTTTCAGGTAATTTTAAAAATTCCCTTCGGTGAAATTTTTTAAAACTTTTTATAAAAGGTAATACTTGTATAATGATTTTTCCCCTCAATTTAAAAAAATCGATACGTTTCTTAGAAAATTTAAAAAACGTCAAAAATTAATATTAAAAATTTTCCCTTCGATTTAATTAAAAAAAAAGGATATTGCATTTGTTGTGCCGATGTTAAGAAATGTGCAAAATTTTAAAAAATTTCACCGAAGGAAAACGGAAAATTTGGGTACAAGCATTTTGTATAAAACAACAAGGCATGACTTTTTAAATATTAATTATGTTTGATATACTGTTTATAACTGTGTCGGTTAATAGTCAACTAAGCGTGGATTATACATGTAATATTTAGGTAATTATTGGTGATGACTTCTTGCTTTAATTTGAAAAATGTTTATCAAAATTCGTCCCGTGCGAGTTAGTACTATCGTCGGATGTTTTCGCAAAATGCCCGCTCAAATTTCAGTTTTTATTGTAGTATGTTAGGAGTTTCGTCCCTGCTCATTTCACCCGTAGAGGGCTCATTATTTAAGTCATCTTTATTGTCATAAGTGCTGCTAGATTGTGTAGAAAACACTGCAAATTCTTGAGGAAACTTTATATCATATCCCAATGTTCGCAATCGAACCTCACGTACGGCGCCACGGCGGTCAGTCAAAAAACTTCCAGAAAATCCCTTTGAAAAAAAACAAGTTTACATTGTCTTCTTTCGAAACATCACATCCAAGTATCGTTGTAGCTTTTAGAACTCTTTTTATGCTTTAAACTAAAGCAAAATTCACACTTTTATTTCGAAAAGAGTTAAAACACAATGTTCGTTCATATTTTGAAGTCAGTCAACTCACACGAGTTTCAGTTTACATATATACCTTAAACGTTGCGGTCGTTCAAAAAATAATAGAGTTTCGGAAGCGTGCATTTTGGACAAAAATAATTTTATCTGCCTTCATCACATGACCGCGTAATGACGGAAATTAGCGAGAGAGCATTGAATATATTAACTTCCTACCGCAAGTATATTGTAGTAAATATGAAAGTTTTCCCAAAACAGTGGTCTTGAGAATATTCGCTCCCGAACCCACTCCACCCTAAGCGCAGATCGACGCCGGCTTTTTAATCGGAGTTTACTTATACTTGTTTTTGTCATATATACTTTAGGTTCTAGACTTAATACCACTCCTTACATGACTACACACGTTTCCCAACTGTTGGACTGCCTTATCGAATGTGACGAGGAACCATGTTGCAGATCAGTCAACTTTAAAAAGATATTGAGTTCCGATTATGAATGCAATTGTGAAATGCTACATAATGTAGTATACAATACATCTGAAAAATTACTGAAAACGAATGCCTCTTTTGATCATGTTTATTTCACAAGTTCAAAAAAGGTGAGGTTGATTAAATTAGCTATTTCTTATCCCCAGCTAGTATTTACAGCGTATGCACTTAACCACACTGGAATGCGAACTGCCATGATAATATCTCAATCTTTGTAGTTTTAAATTAAATAGTTTTTTTTTTATGTAGTTTTAAATTAAATAGTGTGTGGCGCTTTAATTAAGCGAGTAACCATGCAAAACGCCATGTAAATTCGCAAATATCTTCTCTAATTCCTCAAAATCTTTAATGGAAGTTTAACAATTTTAAAATAATATTTAAAGGTGATGTAAAGTCCGTAATGTAAACAAACGCTATGTTTACATTTTGAACTCAGTGCAACAGGTGTAAAATATGATTAGATATATATTATACTGAATTTTTAATACTCTTCCAGTACGCTATTCTTGTAAATGAATGCAGACTAGAGATTCAATTCAAGAAAGTACGTTCGGAAGGTGCGAAATTTTAACAACATTCCAAAGGTTGCTCCCCCACTGATGGAATGTGTTGATGCGCAGAATATATGCTGCACAGAACGGACTTTACAGCATCTTGATTTGGCGTGCTTGATTAGTATAGGTAATCATGTGCGATGACAAATTGGGATTAATAGTTCCAGTGATGTTTGGAAATTTTGCCAAAATTGGACGAGTCGCCGGGGCGAGTCTAATTTGGCAAATTTCCAAACATCACGAGTACTATTAATCCATAATTGTACGAGCAACATCGCATGATTACTTGTTTATTATTAGCATGACAAAATTAGTATATTTCTCAACGTTAACATCATATATTCTCTTGCCAAAGCCCAGTCCTGCCAGATTTTCAACCAAAATTTGGTGCTTTTGTCTGTATTTTCATTTAGTTCTTTTGTTTTAAAGCAAATTTGGTGCTTTTGTTCCTATTTTCACCTAGTTCCTCTAGGGCAATTTCATTTCACGCTTGTGTTTAAATACCTTTCCGCCATTTTGTTTGTTGTGGGAAAATCGTTAATGAAATAATTGTACTCCTCTCAACCAATCAGCATCCAGTAATTTTGTCATGCTAATAATAAATCCAGTTATTGACCATGCGGGAAATTGGGAGTGCATGAGTGGCTACACATTAAAGAGGTTAAGATACCCCGATTCCGGTTTACGTGAACGATTATCGCCATTTTGTTTACCAATTTTTGCTGATGTCAGCATTTTTACCTGTAATTGCTACCCGTTTCCCCGCAGTAATCCATGATCTACACGTAAAAACTAACGGGTACGGGTGTTTTCTGTTTACTATTTGTGGGCCGTTTAAAATAGTAAAAATTTTCAACAAAAATTCAACCAAAAATTTAAATTTTTCATCCATATAAATAATGCACTTATTCTGGTCAAAGTTTTCAACAATCTATGTCGAACTTCAACAGCGAAAGTTACCATTGTCTGATAGTTTTACTCACACCGAAATATCTTGGATTTCTTAAGTTGCAATTCGTTCCCCGATTTACGGCACGCGTACATGTATATATCACCCGTACCCGTAAACCGGAACCGGGGTATCTTAACCTCTCTAATGCAGCTTGCCGGAACGGAAATGAAATGCGAATGACGAAACCTTAAAAAAGCTTGAAATATTGATAGTTTACGATTTAAGTCTTTACCTGTGTTGGCAAAAAGTGGAGAACACTGTTGAGAGTATTTATTTTGAATTTATTCTAAAAATTTTCAACTATTTAAAGTTTTGTTGTGATAGAGTGCACTAATTCTTTGTTTTGTGATTTCGACTCTGTTAATATTTTTAATGTTTGAATTCTTCATATGTTTTGTACTGGAGTGCAAAAAATAGTGAAATTTGGAAATTGAAATATATTAGTATGAAAATTGGCTTTCCATACTATTTTCAACTAAGATCCATATTATTTCCATAATAGTTTATGGGTGTTGTAGATGGAAATTAAGCCTGCTCTGGGACCTTAAATCGCCCTAAATCGCTATGTCAAATTGGACAAACATATCTTAAATCGCAACTTCATAAATCGCCTTAAATCGCACCACTTAAAAACTCAATTTTTTCCTTAAATCGCACTAAATCGCAGCGATATAAGGCTATTTAAGGTCCCGGGCAGGCCTGAAATTATCGAGTGGAAATTTACATACATTTATTATACTGTATAGGAACAGATGCATGCGAAAAATGCAAATTTAGGTCCCTGGCAAGAATCAAACTTGCGGCCTTGCAATTCCGGTGCAACGCTCTAACCAACTGAGCTACATAGTAGGCAAGTGTAGGTTATGTGTAAATATCAAGATTTAGGTAACTATATTTTGTTGGCATGTATCTAAATTTCCATTCAATAATTTTCATCAACAATACCTATTATTCAAGCTTTGCTTTCGATGGCTCAAATTCAGTGATGTAGCCTATTAAATGATTGATTAATGAAAATCTGAAAATGCTAGTTTTTTTGAATTTTATAAAATCTTCCAATAATGAAATATATTTGCTAGAATTGTTTGCTATATTTCGCTGTCGTTATCTAAAATTCGGAGAATCGGTGGTCGCTATGCATGATAGTCCGCTATATTTTTGAGATCAGCGAGGGGGAAACCCTCGCACGGTGACCACAGCCATACGCCCATGATAATTGAAGAACATTAGACTTCGCTAATGCTTTTCTTATCCCGGGGTGAATAGCCGTGCGAAATTGGCTCACTCGCCCAGGGCTTACGGCCAGAACGGTGCTCCGCGCCGTTGACTAGAGGACAAGTTTTGTTTCATCGATCGATTATTTTTAAAACAATAAAATATTTTGAGAAAATTCTGGCGGAAATGTATGGCGAAAAAGAGGCAAAAAATTCCCGCGCTTTTTTTCCGCACTGAATCGAGTTATTGGGCACGCATTCCAGTCAATCAAGATGTACTTATATAACATATATATTCTATAATAATTATTCCAATAAGTTATTTTTTTGCGTAAATATTTACGATAATATATTCGATTTCGGCATCTCCAGAACATGCCTGCCTTCAATTTGACTCTCGAATTCATCATTGAGAAATTTTAAAAACTTAGGAGACTTAATTATATTTTCACGTGTAGGACTACGATGCAAGATGCTTACTGCCTAAAGGTTTGTAAAGAACATTTATTTATCTCCATTTGCAAAACGTGCAAAGTGTTGAAAACGTATATGATACATTTCCTTTATTTTGTGTGATCCCTTGGGTTTTTGTAGACTTGGTAGTCGTTTATATTATTCTAAATATTTATATGCATGAGCTAGAGTGTGAGAGTTTAATGCATGTATTCTAAAAGCTCACTCACACTCAATGAGTGGCGGTTCAATCTGAGCTTCTCTTGGATGGTGAGTAGTCACATAGTGAGGTACGACACTAACCCTCCAGCTATTAAAAAACAGCAATGACACTCGAGAGAAGCTCAGATTGAACTTCCACTCATTGAGTGTGAGTGTGAGTGGAATACGGGCGTAAGTATTAAATGTTCAGTTGTACATATTTTAATGACACAAAATCGAAACCGTTTAGCCTGGTGGACGTCAGTCATTAGTACACGCACAACAATGACTGTTACAAATCTAGCATTCTGATTTGGTAATCAACCATTGCGTGACGCTAATCTAGCATTCTGATTTGGTAATCAACCATTGCGTGACGCTAATCTAGCATTCTGATTTGGTGATCAATTACGTCACGGTCCACGGTTGCGAAAAAAAGATTGCGGAAAGCTTTTGTTTAGCAAACATTTTGATGGAATTATGCTGAAAAGTCTTTCCCCAATAAGCAATAAGCCGCCAAACCATTTAAATTTCAGCTGCTTATAGTTAATTAATCATCTATGTTTTCCTGGTCTTCAATTTGTCTACAATTCGCCCATAGACAATTCGGCTTTGTTCTTTAATTGACACTGCACAATATTTAATTTTCTTATTTATACGAGTTTGTTTTTACATTTTCCCTTACGAACCTCTATTGAATAATTAAAGTCAACATACGGTCCCCTAATATATACGGGTAAATCTGCAAGAAATCTTTATATATAGAGGTTTTGCTGAATTTCCCCATGTTTTCTTCCGGCATATTATTTCATTATGGTATACAAGTGAAATACCTTTATGTACGATGAATATATTCCTATACGCTTCATTCCGTAGTCGGAAAATCAAATGAAATACTGTGAGAAATCGCAGCCTCATGTGCTACAAATGCAGTTTTTTAATTGGACAATTTGAATTTGAGGTACAATATTGCGTAATATAATCTTCACTTTTAAATGTAAAATATGCAGCCTTTTTTATTCTACGCAACATTAAAATAGCCAACAGGATGGTTTCTGGAGCATTTTGGACAAAACATGCACGAGGAGCACCATAGTTGGTCTTAAATAAATAAATATTCAATAAATATTAAATAAATATTATTAATTAAATAAATATATATATATTATTATTATTGAATTATCGCCAGTTTTTCCGACCGAGCCAACATTTGCGAATTTTTAAAACCAAGTGATTCATACATTTCAACCGACCACAAGTTGTGGTCTGTTGAAATGTATGAATTACTTGGTCTTGTGATCCACAACGCTAGTAATTTCGACCTATTCATCTCATACAATAATTTCCCAAATATAAAACGATCAGTGTTTGATTACCGACGTGCTGACATTGATGGTCTATGAAAGAATCTTCAATCCATTGAATCAGTCAACTTAAAACAGAGAACGGCGATATCAACCTGGATTGACTTGCGTGAGAAAATGCGTTTTTGGCATCGAAATGTGTGCCGACAAAAGCACTACGAGGTCGAAACCATTTCCCTTGGATGAACAGTTAACAATAATTCACTACTTCAAGAAGAAAAACTCCATAAGAACAAGAATTAAAAGATCCTGCCATCCAAGGAAACACACCCAAACAGAAGATTTCGAGAACTTTACACTACAATTAAAAGAATGTTCCGTGAAGTCGCTTGGATTATATCAATTAAATCTGAGCATCTCGTGAACATAATCCTGAAAGTTTTTGGTCGTTTTTCAGGATTGAATCAAAGGTATCCAATGTCCGTTAAAATTTTCGGTTAAATCTAGCGAAAATCAAAATCATTAAAGGTATTCCAACAACAACGTGCACATTGCAAATACAGTTAACGACACTGGATCCTGATCACTGACTAACGCCAAGTAATAACCGTATTATATAATCTAAATAACATTAAAGCTCATGGACCGGACGAAATCCCAGCACGTATCATCCCTAATCGTCCCTTCACTCGACGCTCTCGTCAACAAATCTTTACGTTGTGGTGTTCGTCCGGGTGATTGGAAATTAGCGAATGTCGTACCAGTACACAAACGGGGCATGAGAAATCCTATATAGAACACTATACAGTGCGTTGCGTTTTCCATAACATTCAACATCATGTTTATCAACGAATCAACCCTAGTCGACACGAGATTTTTCCACGAAAATCATGCCTAACACAACTGATTGAAGTATTTGAACAGATAGGTCGGAAATTAGACTACGCTAAGGATTAATATCCAATACCTCCGCAGGTTGTCCAGTGGGCATATTGAAAAGTCCAATGGACATCTCATAGTCCATTGGGTCCAATGGATATGATGTGCCCAGTGGGTTATTCAATATGTGCGTCCAATTAATGGATATATACAGCAGATGTGCCCAATGGACATTTAAGATGTCCAATGAATCCAATGGACAGGCATATGTCCACTGGACATTTGGTTGTGCAGTAAATAAACTTGTTCGAATGACGTCATAGGTTGGCATTGACCTCATGCATGCTGCATGAGGCCTGTGAGATGGGAAAGTGAGTACTGTATATCCAATGATCCGTTGCATGACATGCATATGTCCAATGGACATTTGAGTTGTGTATTGGATCCGATGGACATAAGAGATAAGATAAGAGTTAACAACACAGAACATAAGCGTTGGTCGTTTTAAAAGCGATCTCTATATAAATATTAGAAATCGGCTCAGAACATATACGATGCGGAAAATCCTAGAACATGGAAAACTGTATGTTTGTCTTGTAACACGTCTCGTATTTCCTGTGTTCGTCTTGTTGGGCTTCATTGTAGGTTAATTTCCACTTCAGAAAGTTTTCCACGGGAGCGGATGGAGTTGAAACTGACGACTTTAGCATGATTATGTAACTTTCAAAAACTCATTAATAATTCATAACACACAAAGAAAAATCATCGGCGTGTCGTGGTTTTATATGTGATAAAAAATCATGTTAATTTACATAAACTTTAGCTTTGATTTTCTCAGTTTAGATAAAGTTTATTTTAAAAATTACGCCAATGAACTCTTATAAGATGAGTCGTTTTTGAAGCCATTTAAAGCTGCACTTGTAATCGTGTTTTTTTCACATATAAAACACTCCGCTACGCGTCGTGTTTTATATGTGATAAAACACTCCTACGCGTGCTTTAAATAGTACTTCCTTTCTGTTCCTATCCTGCGGAGGGTTTTTTCTGGGTGCAAACTAGCCTTTTATATTACTAAAGATCTAAGAAGAATGTGTCATGTTCGTTTTGTAAGGGATGCTGTAATTGGCGTAAGCTGTAGCATATACGCTGCTATGATTGATAAGTTGTATAATCTTGTGTTTGTTTTTGTGTCGATTGTGTGTTATTGGCAAAGCATATTAATAAATATATAAATAAATATTAAAAAGAAACTTGCCTTAGGTTTTACGATTTTCTAACTGATTGTACGCATGTTCTTGATGTTTTGTTATAAAGTTTCCACCGTGGTCAGGCATATTTTTCAAGCTTGCCCGGTGTGGATATACTGTTACGAAAGTATTAAAAATAGTATAAAAATAGTTCAATTTGCACCTCAGGTAATTATAAAATACTAGTTACATCGGAGAGATAATGAGCATTTTTGACAAAAAAAAAACAGGTAAAGTATAACTCATTTCGGACTTACGTAAAAATATCAATTATCTGTCCACTAGGCAAGATAGATAACTCGTCAATTTGTCAAAGATGGACGATAACCTTGCATGGTGGCCTATTCTGTTAACATAATTCAAAGTCCAAGGCTGGCTCTTCTTTGACATGGAAAATGTGCGTGCTTAGGGCCTTTCTGTCAATCATTCTTCGGTATATTTCGCGCGTTTGAGTAATGATAACATTACGTCATCAAAATCTTGGTTCAATAAAATTGTAAGTAAATTTAGGTTAGTAGTTAAAGTAAGGTTCATATAAGTATAGTTTGAAGTCTTTACTATGATATTTTGATAAGTATTTTAAGTTTGGAACATATTTTAACATTGATCGATTGAACAGCGAACCAACTCGACAAGTGCGGCAACGCCTTAAATAAACAGAATTTGAGGGCTGGAACGTGCTACCAACGCCAACCCACACTTTTAAACCTCAACGTTGATTGGCTGGATACAAATCATACCACTTACTACACCACGTGTACATGCAAAGATCCCTCAACCGTTAGTTGAGCGCGTGCGTGCACAAGCAAATTCGTCAGTGGATGATCTCTCAGTGGATGATTTCTCAGTGGACTCTCAAGTGAAGTGAATGAACGTAGACTCTCTGGTGGACTCTCCAGTGGACTATCAAGAAGAGAACTTTGAAGCAGAACTATTCCAATATTAACATTAGTGACAATAATTAGCGACAATACACTCAGAGTAACATCACAAGCAACAAATAAAGTGTTTGGCTGCAAGTCTCATTAACATTTTTTTGGATTCCCCGTAATGTTTTTTGAAAACTTAACATTGGGGATAGATGAAATAATTGTTGCAGGCTTAAAATCACATAAATTGCTGATTTGCATAAATTAATTACTTGGTATTAAACATATAGCGGTTCACTTCTACAAGAAGTTGAACGAGTTAAGGAGTCTTGTTCTGTACAGCACAGGCGCAAACAAGGCTAAACGCGGCAAGCAGTATGGATATCTAAAGCTAAAAGCCCAAAACTATATCCCGCGTACATTGAGCTTTATTAGCATATGCGAATGAAGGGCTTGCAATTGCTAATTTCCATTGCAAAGAGCAATCTAATGGCGAATATCATACATTTTTAACACAATAACTCAGTGTAAACACTGTAAAATAATATTAGAATCAATTTATATGTAAAATGACTCTTTATTGATGAATTTCGTAAATTGCAAAAGTTGATTCCCAACAGAAAATGTATATTTACCAAGCCAAATTTCAAATTTTACGGCGTATATTTTAAAAATTAAACGAAACTTACCTTAAGTTGAAGTTTGATTGTAATTCTACTCATCATCAGCTGGAACGAAGAAGTAACATGAGAAGCATGCGCATTGCTTGTCAGTCAGTATTTAACGCGAATGATTGGCGAAGAGCAAGGAACGAAGGAGTGCAGTGGGCCTGCCAAGAAGAGAGGTGGGCATGTTACTCCTTCGTTCCAGCTGATGATGAGTAGAATTACAATCAAACTTCAACTTAAAGTGGCTCCCTACAGTTCTCTAAAATTCTAGGTATTTTGAGTAACGTTCGCTTTGAACCGAGTTTATATTAGATACACTTAAGACAAGGCAATATGATCATTTCCAGGAAAGTTCAGAAGCTGTGTGCTGTCCATTTATGAACAAATTAAAACAGTGTTCGCGTTGCCATGGCAACCATGATGTTTAATCTTTTGCACTTTTATTGTCTAATTTCACAATAAATTGACAATATCTATATTTTCCTTCGGTGAATTTTTCTGAAATTTTTTTTGAAGATTTATGGCTCATTAAGGAAAAAAATATCAAAATTTGAAGGGAATTTACAAATAAGTTTTCGAGATATTCGTGAATGACGGTTACAGAAAAAAATATTTGTAGAATTTCTTAAAATTTGGATATGTTGTACCACTCGTCTTGTATAACAAAAATACAAAGTTTAAAAAAATTTCACAGAAGAAAACACGAGAAAATCATCGCTAAAATCGGCCAGCATGAAAAAAAATCGACTCGACATGAGCACGATCTGCGCATGCGTGTAAATTGTAGCGTGTGATTTATAGTGATTTAAACTTTTTGGCTTACAATACATACGAAAACAGATATTTCTGACTTGTTTGACATGAAAATAAAATATTAATCTTGAAAATACTAATAAAAAAAACACTATTATACGCATTGTATTAAATCCAGTGTTAGTTTACATTTGTTTTTGTTGTTAAAATCGGTGTGAAAACTTTTCAAAACATCGAACTACAAGTTTAACTTTTCATATAAAACAACTCATAACTGTTTTATTTGATTTAGCAGATAAAACGAAACTTGTGAATTGAATTGATTGACAGAACTTACATAAGTTTCGGCGACAGTTCACTGCTGTTCAAGAGTTATAGAAGACAGTATCATTTCAGTTTGACAGTTCGCAACACAACAATTTGAAAATTTTGATCAATATGAAAGACAATACTGAACGTAAATACGTAAAAACACACTAAAAGATTGGCTAAACTAGTTAATAACATACGTACTGTTCGAATTCACAAAAAAATTAGGATTATAATGAAAAACTGGAGCTTTCTTTGTAGATAAAAACGCCAAAAAACTTCCCGCGGCTTGTTTCAATATTTTTGTCGAACAGTAAACACGACGATTCCACGCGCAGGTCGCGAGGATGAAGTCTGATCTATATAAATCGTATTTTAACTGTACTAACTGTAGGGAGCCACCTTAAGGTAAGTTTCGTTTAATTTTTAAATTCTATCTCATCATCAGCTACGTCACTACGGAGTACCATGAGATTTTGATGTTCGGTAATCATGAGTAATTTGATAGTCTCCGTAAGTTGGAAATGAAATATTAATATAACAAACTGAAACAGTTTTAATGAAATAAGCGTTCAATGCTAAGGTTCCTTCAGTATTAACTTATTAACTGTAAATATTGTTTCAACAAATGTGAAGTTCTAAACTCGATCTCGTTCAGCATCTGCTGCAAACGCCTGCATAATATTAGTTCCCAACGTGTCTGTCACAATTGGTTTTTGATAATATGAGGCGAACGTCTGAGCGTTGAACCAGCCCGCTGCTTCAAGAATTTCGGTAAGTCTAGCTCCCATCGCGAATCCATATGATGTTGCAGCCGCTCTGCTACTGTGCGAAGAATATATATTTGTGTCGATGCCTACATCTCTGAGTACTTCATTGATCCAACACGCTGCCGTATCTTTCGATATCGGATTGTGTGGTTTTATACAACTGATTAACAATTGTGAATTGTCTGTTCGTATTGATGTCGTCCGATGAATGTATTCGTCTAAATGGCGAACAACACACAGGTCCCTGTCTGCACAGCTCGAGAGTTCTATTGGTTTTTGATGAGTTCCTGGCTTAGTGTGTTTGAGCTTTTCCCCAAGGGTGAATATGTATTTCCCTGGCAATTTCTGCATAAGGTGTATGTTAAGTTTGTGAATAGTTTGACAACGTTGTCCAGTTATGAGAGCCAGTAGCATTACTAATTTATGGGAAAGCTGCTTCTGAGAAAGTTCCGAGTTCAGAGTTAGCACGTGACCTTACGTAAATTAGGACCTGTCCAAAATCCCATATTTTCTTATATTTTGGCCATGCTGGCTTAATTTCAAATACGCCTTTCAAAAACCGGCATACCAGTCGGTTTTCTCCAAATGACGCCCGGTCTTTAGGTGTTAGTATCACAAATAACGCTGACCTTGCTGTGTTTATAGCACTGTGGCTCAATTTCTGTTCAAATAAATTTGCCATTAAATCTATGCCCTGCTCAACCGTGGCATTGGACTAATTAATGTTTCTCACAGCACAAAACTGTTTCCACCTAGTAAGATATGTGTGGTATTGTTTCTTGGTACTTTCGCGCCAAGACGCCATAATAACGCCCTTTGCTGTAGCTGAAATGTTATGTCGTTCTAGTTTTGTCCTGATAATAGACAAAATAGAAGTCGCAAGTTCTTGCCCAGAGTGTGCGTTTCCCCTGGTGAGTTTGGCAGTATTAGTCTGTCTTGTTTCAGTTGGAGTAATACTGGCTTCCCTATGCACATGTTCGTGGCTTTGGGATACCAGGCACGTGTGGGCCAATCTGGTAGAACACAAACATCCATGGCCTGGTCCTCTACAATTTTTCGTAAAACTGCTGGAACGACACTAAACGGGGGAAACATGTAAAATTTTAGATTTTCCCACTGTATCGTAAAGGCATCTATTATTTCGGCCCATGGGTCAGGTCTAAATGATGCATACCGCTCAAACTGCTTATTGATTCTGGATGCCAAAAGGTCAATTACTGGAGTGAAATGTAATTGGATTAAAGATTTTTTGCAAATCAGTAGGATTAAGCATCCACTCGGCTCCGGAGTTGATTTTTCTAGATTCCATGTCTTGATTTAAAATGGGTATAGGCCACAGACTTGTTGAACTCTTTCAAGTTCAGAATGAGTCTGAATTGTCCATCGTTTTTCTGTCTGATAAAAATAGGAGAGATTATCTCCCCTGGTTCATGTGACGCTATTTCAATTACTTCCCTAGCAAGTAGTCTCTCGATTTCAGTATTTATTGCTAGTGTCTCGATGTGACAAAATTTTGGGTTCGGATTAACACTACCTTGGTGTGGTAGATCATCGAGGGGTATTGTAATACCTCTGATAGAGTCAAGTATTGTTTTGTCTGCGGTCAGATTTTTCCAAGCTGGAAACTTCTGAGCAGTCCTGCCTGCTTTGAAATCTATACATTTTTGTTCAAGATATTGGATCAAAAAGGAAAAATTGAAATAACTGCAACTTACATTTTCTTTAAGTGTTTGTATTTTCTCAGCTAAACTCACTTCCTTTGCTGGTTCTGGGACCCGTTGCCTCTCGTGCCGGGTCGCCTGCGATATGGTTTTTGGCCTCTCCATAAAAAAGGCCTCGTATGTGTATTTCTACCACGATTGTCACCCGTGTATGAGTTATTAATATCCTCACGGCTGTAGGTGTGAGTATTGCGTCCACTGGTGTTTGCTGTGCTAGTATTGCGAGCTGTTCTTGGCAGCGTCAGTGTGCTTGCAATGCTGTTTTTTTCCTTTGTGTCGCGAACCAGTTTCGCCGAGTCATAGCCAAATAAGAATTTTGAGTTTGGCGGAACAGTTGCATGGCAAATTTTTTGAAATTCTGGTTTCAACGCTGGTTTAATCAACTCCTGTCGCATGGACATTACATCAGCATTCATATGCCCCAACATTGCAATGACGTTCACTGCCATGCGAAGTAATGCCTCGCGGTCATTACCTTTCTTGTTCAATGCCGAAGGTTGATTTTTGGCGCTTAAAGTTTCCGCCATTTGAAGCGTGGCAAGAACCGCTGCATTCTTGACAGTCTAATATCTGTTTTCTTTTTGTGTTGGCTGATTTAAGACCATATTTCTGGATTAATGCGGTTAACTCGCATAGCTTCACAGTTTAGCGGTTGTTTGTATTTCTCGTTTATTTCCTTGATTTTGTCAGGACTTAATTTTTCAGTCCGGCGATTAATAGCTATAGTTGCTAGTTTTTCCCCCACTGCGAACCCTAGACTTTTGTCTTCACTGAACTGTTGTTCCAGTTCTTGAAGCAATTCGTCGTCGGGTAAATCAGGGCTTTCGTCTTGTTGTTGCGGCGTATCATATCGCTGTCATTCAGTAACTGCCTTACCTCGTTATCACTGGCCGTTACGCTGAGACTGTCCTCATTTTCATGAGCTGAGCGACGGCGTTTTGCCGTGTGTTCATCTCGCTCCGACTCAGAGGAGTATTGATCCTCTTGTTGTCGTTTTTTGGCCTTTGCAGTTTTCCCGCCAGAATTGATGTGCTGCCATATTTGGCCCAATATTGCAGCCATGTTGGCCATATTTTCGTTCATTGTGGGCAAAGTAGTTTAGCGAATTTTCTTTAGAAACATCGCTGTTCATGCTCTGTGAGCTTGTATGTTGCCCATGCAGGGCAGATTGTTCGTCCTGTGGACTAGCGTTGGGCTCATCGTCGTCAAAGGCTTCCTCTTGTTGACGACGGCTATGTTGTTCATCTCTTCCCGCATCCATATTTTGGTCGTTCTTACCTGTTTCGAACAAACCTGCTCTAAATATGGAAAAAAGAGTCAAGGAAATGCAAATTATTGAAATTAGGGAGCGCTACTTACGGTTTGAGTGTGTCTCCCTCTGAATATTTATATATTTTCTTCAGAGCTCTTCAGAGCACGTTCGCCGGTCGACAAAGCAAACCATGCACTGACCGACAAGCAACGCGCATGCCTCTCATGGTACTCCGAACTGACGTAGCTGATGATGAGATAGAATAGGCACTTGTATGGGGAATAAGAGGTAAGAATCTATCGAGCTAAGGAACCCATTTAGCGTTGTCAGTTTGTCGTGATGTTTGTTCTAGCTAATATTTGTGTTATATACTGACGTTTTAGATGTGCACATGTGAGAATTTGTATAGGTAATCACACGGAAAGGAGTGCAATTAATGATTAACACTATGAGTGGTATTTGAAAAATGTGCCAAAATTGCACGAGCCGCCGAGGCGAGTGCAATTTGGCACATTTTTCAAATATCACGAGTAGTGTTAATCATTAATTGCACGACTTGCCCGTGTGATTATTTATTTATTATATGCATGACAAAATCGCTTTCTTTATATTTCAACTGCATTTTGTCAAGAGTTTTTAATTCCTTTGTAAGCAATTTGGTATAAACAAACTTGGGAAATGATTATAAACTCACAAAGGCACATAACTTAAACTAGAACACAAGATTCAAACTCAAACAACATATTTTAGACTAAGAAAATATTTATAAATTGTATTTCAAACTTACATAGTCCCGTTTCGCTGCATCCCGCCAAGATTATTTCTTAAGACTGTTTCCAGGTATTTTCCACTGGATCTTTTTGCCATACAATGTTTCTTAAACTTATTCTTGTGCCGAAATTCAGTTAAATTCGTCCACATTTGTTAGAAATACTTATCTAAATTTCGCCGCCATATTGGATTTTGTTGTTTTGGTTTCCCGCTCCCCCCAGCCATCACGAAAATCATTAATTGCACTCCTGGAGAGTGCAATTAATGATGGTAATAGAACGAATAGGAGTGCTATTAATGCCATAATCATACGAGTGATTACAAAATCAACCGACCGCGTAGCGGGAGGTTGATTTGTTAATCACGAGTATGATTATGGCATTAATAGTACGACTTAATTCGTTCTATTACGTATTAATTATTTATCTTCTGTAATCAAACTGTTTAAGGGGGAAAAGCAGAAAAATACAATTTGTTGAAATTCAATATAATTTTTAAATTTTTGTCACGACAATTCTTAGTGAAATAGTACAATTTTGAATTATTATTTATCATATATAATCAAATTAACATATTATTAACTTCCGGGCATTATTTCCGGTATAACCACATGACAAAATTTGTTTGAATTATTCAACACACAATTGGGAAGCCATGTTTGTATGTTTATAACGTGTTCAAAATAGTGAAGTTCTTTAGTTCAATTAATCATCTGAATTGGATTGTGTCTAGTTCGGTGTCTTCTGCTGGATGAACAGGTAGGTCATTTTCGCCAGAAAATATATAATTTAACAACCCTCGAAAACGAGATCGGCATTCGGCAATGCCGACCTTCAGTATTAAAATGCCGACCTATCAACCTCCCATGTCGGCAATGTTTTGCCGACCTTAATTCAGCCAAAGTAAGAATCTTTTTTGTTCTTATAGTTGTTAAAAAGTCAGCGATTATAGAATTCGATGCACTTTGGTGTAAGGTTTAAGAATTAACGGGTATATTTATGATATAATTTAGGTAAAACTCTAAAAGAAAAGGCTTCGTGACATTTATACTTTTCAATGATTCGTAAATACGTGATTACTAGTGCAGGCTACTAGTGCTCCAAGACATGGAAACAGAAAAATGCCGAGATAGGTCAGATTTAGGTCGGCATTTTTTTTCCGACCTCAATTTTGACGGTTTTCGAGGGCTGATTTAAATACTAAAATGGCCAAAATTTGTGAATTCCTCCATTTTGAATTTTTTTACAGCAATAAAGAAAATAAAATTCAAAGTTTGTATCCTGAGTGCTGATTGGCTAGTGTAAATACTAGACTGATTTTCATTGGCTGTAGACAAGAGTGCGATTACAGCTCAGAAAAGGTGCGATTAATGCTCAATTCGCACTCCTGTAAACCAATGAAATTGCAGTATTTGCCACTGATTACAGAAGATAAATAATTAATGAAATAATTGCACTCCTCTTAACCAATCAGATTGCAGTAATTTTGTCATGTATATATTAAGTATAGTTATGAAAAAAAATAAGAAGTATAATTTTCCTTTATCAATTATATACATTGTCGCCATTTTGAATTTATTTAATTTGCGCTCTGCACACATGCTTTTCTGCCATACTGTATTGGATTCCGAGCCATGATAAATGTGGTCACTTGTTTGGCAAGAAACAATTAGCGGTTAATCGCTTTTATATATATATATATATATATATATATATATATATATATATATATATATATATATATATATATAAACAATTATATATATACACTCTAAAAACACTCTGGTTAAATTTGGGTTAATTCAACCAGTACGGGGTTAAAAATCCACCTACACAAGTCTGGTTAAAAAAAATTAACCATTTTCCTGGTTAAAAGTCCAAAAATGTGTACCAAATTTTTGTTGAATTGATAATTTTTAACCAGGAAATGGGTTAAATTTAACCAGAATGTGCTGGGTGGATTATTAACCCAATTCCTGGTTGAATTTAACCAGAGTGTTTTTAGAGTGTATATACATACATACATATATATATATATATATATATATATATATATATATATATATATATATATATATATATATATATATATATATATATATATATATTATATATATGTTAAGTTGTGTAATTGTACACTCCGTAATATGTTAAGATGAAAATGTTCTAGAGTGTGTATTATATAATTTCCATACCCAGCGCAAGCAGAAAGATGTTGTCTGCCGCGGCTGGGTCTTGAACCCGCGACCTTCGAATCACTATATCGACGTTCTACCAACTGAGCTACACGTCAGACGGATTTAAGACTTGAAATTATGAAATATATACTGAATGTCATAAAATGTCATAAACATACTCATTTATATTAATTCAGCATCGAACAATAGCAGTTCTGCCACAGGTGGCCCCACTATGAGTTATGATTGAAATAATATTGTATCTATTTTAAAAATCTAATCGATTATACGAAGGCGGCGAAAGAAGGGAGAATTAATTAAACTAAAGGGTTGAAAATATTATATATATATAATACCAATGCGTTTATATATATATGTATATATATATATATATATATATATATATATATATATATATATATATATATATATATATATATATATATATATATATATATATATATATGTATAATATCAATACCATATAAAGATAGAGCAAATATGGAATTTCGCTTACCTCAAAATTCCGCAACAGTTTGTTTTAACAGTCTGTTTCCCATTCCGCTATACAGTCTGTTTCGCCTGATGATTCTTTACTAATGAAACAAACTGTTGCGGAATTTTGAGGTACGCGAAATTATATATATATATATATATATATATATATATATATATATATATATATATATATTGTTTATCTGTTTTTGATAAGTTTTCAGTTAAGTTGCCTCCGAGCAAAGCAGAAAAGTCGAATATGAGCGCCAAAGGCCGGCTGGGAATCGCTAAAAAAATCATTAATTTTTTTAGCGATTTCCAGCAAACTTTTCGCGCTCGTATTCGACTTTTTTGCCTTGCTCGGGGACAATAGTTGTATACGCCAAAAATAAAGACTTAAGTGACGCACAATCGGCTGTCGATCAGGTATCTGAATGGTCTAAAAGGAATATGCTTCAACTTAACTGCAGGAAATGTAAAGAGCTACCTATTACCTTCAGTCGGTCTCGGAATTCGCCATCTCTAGTCAATGTTGAGGGGTCCACCATTATCCCAGTGAGCAAGGTAAAGCTACTCGACGTAACGATTAACAGCACCCTTACGTGGAATGATCATATCGAGGAAATAGTAAAGAAAGCATCTCGCAAGCAGTATTTTCTTGTGCAGCTTAAGAGAGCGAAAGTCCCAGCAAGAGAAATAGTCGCCTATTACTGTGCATGTATCCGTTCTGCAATCGATTACGCATGCCCTGTATTCCACTACTCACTTCCAAAATATCTCCAAGAAGATCTGGAGAGGATCCAGAAAAGAGCACTAGCCTGCATTTAGCCAGAAAGGCGTTACGAAGATGCCCTATCGCTCGCTGGCCTAGCATCTATACATGATCACCACGAATCTATATCTAAATCACTCTTTAGGTCAATTGTAAGTGACTCTAAAAACAAACTGCATGCTCTACTACCGCAGAGAAATAACAATGCCAAATATTATTTTAGGAAACGTAGAACTTATAATATTCCAACTGCAAAGACCAAACGCTATGCTCAGTCATTCATAATGCATAGTAGTAAGCTTTATGATGACATATAGTGAAATGGTGATTTTAATACTTGTATAAAGTTAGTGGTTTAACTGTACATAATCGTATATTAAGATAAATTTTAGTATTCTTATGTATTGTTGTATCTGTGTTGAACGACTTTTATATGGTTGTGGAGTTGCACAATTCAGTGGTGCCTGCAATGTAACTATCATTTAATAAACCTATCTATCTACGCAATATAACTGTACATGTAATACATGTTTAAATTTATTTATTTATAGTTCAACTAGACGAATCAACGATATTAGCTAACGAACAAGTCGAATTAGCAAACAAACTTCGAGAATGGTTGTTCGGAACAGGAAAATGGAGAATATGTTGGCGGGCCACTGAACATGGTTGGGCAGCCTCGACATTTCACGAAAAATGCAACGGGGAGAAACCGAATTTAGTGATTGTTAAATTTGTGAAGGATGGTAAGAATTTGATCTTCGGTGGCTATAGTACCGAAACGTGGGATGGAAGTAAGTTTGATTTGTTATTTATAGTATTTTATTATGACGTAAATATATACATAAGCTACTGTTATTCGTTATTCGATTAAAAATACGATTGAATATCTTAATCGCTTTCAACTCAATAAAACTTGTAGAATTGTCTGATAGAAGCATATGTTTGTAGTCATAAATTTTAGTCGTGTATATAGGCATATTTAGAAGAAAAATTAATATAAAAAATTTTTGGTCTATAATTTGTATAGGTAATCATGTGATAGCGAGTTCAAGTAAGGATTAATAGTATGAGTGATGTTTGGAAATTTTGCGAAAATTGGACGAACCGCCGCGGCGAGTCCTATTTGGCAAATTTCCAAACTTCACGAGTACTATTAATCCCTAATTGTACGAACAACATCGCATAATTACTTGTTTTCTTATTAGCATGACAAAATTGGATACGTATTTCTCAATGTCAACATCATATTCTCTCGCCAAAGCCCAGTTCTGCCAGACTTTCAAACAAAATTTGGTGCTTTTGTTTATGTTCAAGCAAAATTTTGTGCTTTTCTTGGTAGTTTCATCTAGTTCCTCCACGGCAATTTCATTTCGCAATTGTGTTTAAAATACCTTTCTGCCATTTTGTTTGTTTTGGGAAAATCATTAATTGTACCTCTGAGTCAGTATAATTAATGATGGAAATAGAACGAATTATGTCGTGCTATTAATGCTATAATCATACGAGTGATTACAAAATCAAACGACCGTGTAGCGGGAGGTTGATTTGTTAATCCGAGTATGATTATGGCATTAATTGCACGACCTAATTCGTTCTATTACTTATTAATTATTAATTATTTGTTTCTGTAATCAAATTGTTTAAAGGGGAAAAGCACAAAAATACAATTTGTTGAAATTCAACATAATTATTAAATTTTTGTCACTACAATGGACGACTTGCGCTTTAGACTAAATTTTAATCTAAGTAAGAACAGCGAAATCTATCACCAAAGATAGAAAGAACGTCTTAGAATTAGTAATACTACAAGGTTTGGTTGCGAAATGTTGTAAAATACGGAAAATATAGCCCTTCAAAGTTGGCAAATTTGTATACTTTTGTATTACGCGCGTGAATTGGTAACTAAATTAGTTACCAATTTCCGCACGTAATAGAAATGTATAAAAATTTAATTGCCAACTTCGCCGGGCTATTTTTTCCGTATTTTACAACATTTCGCAACCAAACTTTGCAGTTTTTCTAATTTTGATAACTTCTTTCCGAAAATACCCTTTGTTATTCCAGGATTAAAAATTCTTCTAAGGCGCAAGTCGTCCATTCTTAGTGAACTACAATTTTCAATTAAATTTATCATAATCAAATTACAGTCGTAATTAATTTCGGGATATTGTTTGCGGTATAATCACATGACAACATTGTTTGAATTTAATTATTCAACACACAATTGAGAAGCCGTGTTTGCAAGTTTATAACGTGTTCAAAATAGTGAAGTTCTTTAGTACAGTTTAATCTGAATTTGAGTCAAATATAACCGCTGGTTGTGTCTAGTTCGGTGTCTTATGCTGGAAGAACAGGTAGATCTTTTTCTTCAGAAAATATATGATTTAAGAATTAAAAGGTTAAAATTTTCAAAATTTGGAAGTCCTCCATTTTGAATTTTTTTTACGGAAATAAAAAAATAAAATTAAAAGTTCGCATGCGAATGCTGATTGGCTAGTTGTATATACTAGACTGATTTTCATTGGCTGTTGACAACAGTGATTACAGCTCAGAAAAGGTACGACTAATGCTCAAATCGCACTCCTGCATGTAATTAGCCAATGAAATTGCAGTATTTGCCACTGATTACAGAAGATAAATAATTAATGAAATAATTGTGCTTCTCTAAACGAATCAGCATCCAGTAGTTTAAATCATTTAAACAAAGAGTTTCTGTGGATAATAAGCAAACGAAAAAAACTGTAGTGTTTATCCAGTAATAGTAAACCATGTTCCTATTTGCCGCTAATATTTAGAATTGAACGCGCAATTTGATTCAATAAATTTTCGAAATAAATCCAGAATCCGTCGCCATTCTTCATTCGCTTGTAAACGCTTTCCGATATTCCATAAAATAATCGTAAGTTATTTATTAAAATATTACAGAATATTCTATTATTCATTTCTGTCGAGTGGGGTAATCGTATCTAACCAGATGCTGTTGCTTTTTTTGACAGAGGGTTATGCTTCTGCTCCAGGATCATTTATATTTTCTCTTCGTGATAAACAGGACCTTGCGCCTTTCAAGGCTCCACTAAAATCTGAGAACGACTGGCAGGCAGTTTACCGTAGTAGCAGTTATGGTCCAACATTTGGTAAAGATCATGACCTCAAAATTGCCGGCGATGCGGCGTCAAATACGAACTCCTTCACAAATCTTGGTCAAACATACCAACTTCCACCTGGATACAATCAAACTAAGACACGTAATCATTTCACTCCGTACGAAATTGAAGTACTATATTTAGATTAAAACACTGTCCATCCTTACTTAAAGGTAAATAATTTTGCAAACAAGTAATCATATGCCGTAAATGATCAAGTAAATGTCTGCTCTTTTATTTAACAATTATTCGCCGAAGGCGAGGTGATTATCGGTGAATAAAAACCGAGACGAAGTCGAGGTTTTTATTCACGATAATCACCGAGCCTGAGGTGAATAATTGTTTTAGTATAATTTCATAGGTGATTATAATGGAAAAAAATAAGAAAGTACACATTTCTTTGTCATTTAATTGACAAAAAGGCTTCGGCCGCCATTTTGAAAATTGCTTAGGTGATTATCGCGTAATAATAACCTCAACGACAACCAATCAGCATGGAGAATTTTCAATAATCACCTATGTAATTACACTAAAAATGCCTATTGCATGTTTGAACTGGAATGATTATAACCAATTATTAGTCCATGCAGACACTGAGCTGTAGAACGGACTTGCGACCTGTTTATATGAGCCCGGTATATGAGCCCGGTTAACCTAGCTGGCCCGCTTTGCCGAGCTGGCCCGCTTTGCCGAGCTGGCACGCTTTTTCGAGCTGGCCCGCTTTGCTTTCACGTGAGGCGGGCTAGCCCGGCAATCATATCTACTCATAGTAACGATTTCCCGCGATATTTTAGCTGAAAAATAAAATTCGTGTTTATTTGGCAAAATTTTATTTTAGTCGACGGTCACAGCTTCAGGAGGTTTAATTTCGATAAATTCCTATAATTTTGGACATTTTAGACCGTTTATTAGTGGAATAAAGCACGCAGATTTCCAGTCCGTGCCGGGTTAGCCCGGTTGTCCATTCATATGAGCCCGGCAAGCCGGGATCTCGCCTCGCTTAATTAAGCGAGATCCCGGCAAACCGGCCTGCTCCGCTTCTCATATGAACCCAATCCTAAATTAATATACGAATAATATGTGAGGCGGGATCTTGGCACTTGAAAACTGGCCCGGCTAGCAAGGCCAGCCCGGCAGAGCAGGGCTCCTATGAACAGCCCATTGGTTGGATCTGGTATATTCAAAATCATTTCTTTATTGTATTTTCTAAATCACATTTGTATAGTGTGTAATTAGTTTAAAAGAACATTAGGCTAAAAACGTTAGTTTTGTAGGAAAAAACACCGCTTTTACAATTTGCATGCATTAATTGTCTTAAGGCCGTTTTCCTCTAGGCAGAATTTGCCGAGCGGAGAGGAATTCTTTTTTGTCTTGTGATTTCTCGGGTGGAACTCATTAGAAAGACAAAGAGAAATTCCGCTCCGCGCGGAAAATTTAGCCTAGAGGAAAACGGCATTTACACTCGCACAAATAGACAACTGAAATTAATATACTGTAGTTTTTAAGCACTGTATATATTTAAACGTAGAATATGAAAGGAGTTAAAAACGAATCCGTGAACTTGCACCTCGGACGCCACCAACCTTGTGATTGTAGTTGATTACATTAATTAATAAAATATTAACAGTAAATAATAAATAATCAAAATTTCCTTCATTGCTATACCAAAATTATGATAAATAAAATCGAATTGAAATAATTACGGCCCGTCTCTCAAGCGAACACCCTTTTTTAAACAGCACAAACGGCTGATCCAGTCCAAATGTTAATATTACACTAGGATGGCTTGCAAGCTACTCTGTGTCAAGACGTTAGAGCTTATATACGCATATTTTATGAAGAAATTAAGGAGCAGCTCGTCCAGTAATGTTGTGTAATTTCTGCTAAATATTAGAAATATTGCGTAATTCTGCCGTTTTTGCTGTGAAGGATATACAGTATGTCCGACGACAGGGAGATTTTCAGGATGGCGCGTCTAGGTATTATTAATTTGTTATATGATTGTTAATTAATTAAAACACTGAAGTATCAACAACCATGCACTTATAACAATATATATATATATATATATATATATATATATATATATATATATATATATATATATATAGATAAAGATAAAATAAACCTGGTTTACTTCATAAGATTTATTCACTACAAACTTGTTTCGTATGACAAGCAAT